TCTCTCTCTCTCTCTCTCTCTCTCGAACTGCGCGAGCTCCTGAAATCAAAGCTAAAAACATATATATTGCGCAGCTATTGAAATTTCTTCAACATCGGAGATATTTCGAATTGCTGTATAATTCATCTGAAAATCGATGTAATCCGCACGATGTAATAATATCGCGCATCCGCATTCTTATATATATACATCGACTCTTATTCTTCCCGTTTATAAGAATTTTCATCTTCCTCGCTGTTCTCAGTTTTTTTTTTTTTTTTTTTTTTTATCCGCAAGAGTACAAAGTTTTTGTTTCAACTAGAATCTTGTTAACGATAAAATTGGAACAGCGTTATTGTTTTCTCTCAAATTCCTGACTTAATTCAATTTCCCGTTTTCGCACAAGTTTCTCGCGTACACACGCAAACCGTCGCGATACATTTGCGTTTCCGCGGTTGTCGACTGGCGACGCGCGGAGGTCAATAAAGCGAATTGTTCACGACGTCTGAAAGCGCGAATGTCCCAGAAGAATATAGCCCTGCGGTAAAACGCGCGAGCTCTACTAGCCCGCGATATTCCGGAGCGTTGCTTTTTATTCTTGTATGTATATTTATTATCGAAACGCCGCGAAACGAGGGGCGATATATCGTTTGACGGAATTGGTTTATTTGCTTGGAGCATGCACATTCGACCTCATTAATGTAAATGTCCGTGGATATATATTTCAGTGTTTCCGATAACTTAACGAAGGCGTGCCTAATATCGAGTTGGGTCAACGCAGAACTCTGAAATGTTTTTAAAGATAAGCGCGCGCTACACAAAGTAACACTAAAAACATATCGGAATTCCAATTTGTTATTTGTTATTATTTTCGTCAAAATTAAATTTTGTCTTCGCACAAATACAAAAATTAATAAACCTTCCTACACGCGTAATGGTTTTCTCGAAATAGATCGATAAAAGTTGCGTAGCGTTAATGTCGTTACACTAACGGTTCGAGCCGTAAACTTTTTTGAGCGTTTTGTGTGTGGTTTTTTTTTTTTTTATCGCACAAAAGCATCAGAATCGTCGCATTGTATTTGCGTATGCGCGTGGACGTCATCCCAGCGAAATGGTGGTGCACGTGTGCACGGTCCATTGCGACATCCGCAAATAACGGATTCAAAGAAGGCGACATCGAGAGAGAGAGAAAGAGAGAGAGACACACACACACACACACACACATTCACACCAAACATAAATTCTCTTGTTGTTCCTGTAAGTATGCACTTCTACTATCATCTTCTATTACGTGATACGCCGCTTCAGAAGAAAACGAAGATAGTATAAAAGTCCAGGATGTTCGTTCGCCGTTATTCAAAATAGCTTTCATAAAAATGAAACACGTTGCTCCGTGTTGTCTTTGGCATTGTGTATCTTTTACTCGCGGAACGGAAAAATTATTCCGCGCACATCGAATCGAGGAAATATTTTCGTTTTATTTTTTTGCGCGATGTAAACAATACATTCTTTTGTTTTTTTCGGAGGGAACAAAATGTCACGTTGTTTGTAAAGCAATACCTCTTTTAAAATGTTTTTTTTTTTTTTTTTTTTTTTTTTTTTTTTTTTTTTTTTTTTTTTTTTTTTTTTTTTTTNTGATTAAAATGTTTTAAAAGAGGCAATTCTAAAGGTATTCAAAAACAAAGAAGCCTTTGATGAGCGTTGAAAAAGAAAAAAATCAGAATTCCTTCTCTCTTGTTTAGAAAAAAAAAAAAAAGACATTCGCCAAATTGCGGTCACATATCGCGGCAGCTTTTCTATTGCAAATTTCAGCCGACAGAGATTTTTCCGAATTCGCCACCGGCAATGGCAACCGTCGATGAACTTTTTTTCCTTCTCTCTCTTCCCCGCATAGATCGCGGCCAGCGCTCTATCTAATAGCGCGACCCTCGCGGCGGGTTTTGTATTCGCTGCACGCCGCGACATTTGCATTGAAATTGTTGCACCCGGCGCCGTAGCGCGTTTCGCATCGTAATCCGCCCGAACAAATAGAGAGCGCGTTGCGTGCAGCGCGCAAAAACTTGCAAAAAAAAACCGCATCGCTGATAGCGAACAATGCACTGTGCGCGAGAAAGAAAGGTCGCGGATCATGGTCGTTAACCCTCGTTAAACGAAGGGATATCTGGCCGTGTTTGATAATAACTAACGCACGAGTGGCACGATTAAAAAATAATTATTTTTTTATATGACAGTTATAAAAGAAAAAGTATATTCCATAAATTAGTTAATCTGTGCTCGCGCACAGAAAGAGAAAGACAAAGAGAAAGCGAGAGAGAGAGAGAAGCAATATTGTTGAATAAAAAATTTAAATTCCAGTTAAAGTTTTCAGATTTTTTTCACAGTAGTAAGCAAACTCAGTACATAAGCGCTAAAAAATTTGCCAAATAATTTCAACTTAAATTTCCAGGGAATTCTCATATTTTTTTCAGCTGGGAAAAAAATTCCTTGGAAAAATTTCACATTTTCCAAGTTTTTCCACCTCTTAAATTCTCCCGCGTATTTACGTAGCTTACATTCGCAGGTAAAAAACTGTTAGCTATATAATTCAGCTTTAATATGCTTACTATTTACAACTACCACTTGCGCATTAAATGCGTCATTATTTTCCTTAAAATTTTTAAGTGAACGCTGGAAGAAAAAAAAAACGCTATCACGATTCATATTTATGAGTCAAGTGTTGCGACGTAATAAGGGAAGGTGAAGCGAACGCGAAAGAACCCTTGAATACGAATAGAACGATTTTTTTTTTTTTTTGTAACGTGATCGCGAATGTAATAAACGTCGTGAAAATTCGGCGATGCAGTGTCTTTTTTTTTAATTGTCGGGGATTTTCTTCGTTTGTCTCAAACACAAATGAGATTTTGAATCTTACTCACGTTCACTTTGGTCGATGAGATCTGTCTTTTCGTTCTGCCGTGATACACTTGCGGTCTCACCAGAGTGTGTCTGCTGAAATCCGGCGACGGACCTGCAACACATCAATTAAATCGATTCAGTACAAAGGCGGAATGATTTAAAATGAAAATGAACTAAAATCATTGTGTAACGAAAGTTTCAAAAAAAAAAAAAAAACTTTCCTCAACAGAACGCTATTGTGTGTCTTTGTATCTTCAGCATACGCACACATACACACATACATACACACACACACACAGCCAGCGCTTTATACTAACTTCAGTACCTAACTTTATAAGTCAAGTGGCTCTTGTGTGTGCGGAACTACTCAAGTGTTAACAAGCGACGGGGCGACGTTGAAAAAGACCACGTCGGAGTCTACATCGCAATATGAGTTTTTCACCAAAGCTTTTTCACCAAAGTCTTTCTACATTAATGAATATAGTTGCTGAACAATTTGCCGCATCGATCCGAGCCCGCTTGTGTGTTCTTGCTTTTTTTTTTTTTTCTTTTTCTTTCTTCAAACACCGAACATCACCGTTTGCCTTTCTCTTGCATTCGATTGCATCGAAAACTAAGCAACGAGCGAGAAAAAATTTATTGTAAAATGCGCGTACGAAAAACAAAGCACGTTCACATGCACGCAGTATCAACGATATATATGTAGGATACACTGAGGTCAATTTTAAATAAAACTCGGCACTTCACTTCAATTGTTAAATAATATAGATATAAGTATAAATTTATTAATCACGGCACGTTACAAATAAACTCAAATATATCACTCTCGGCACACGTTACTCAAATTCTTCTACAAATCTTTACATATTCAAATCTTCGACCGAATCTCGTCAACGGTTCCAAAACGACTCTCTCTGCGTAATCGGCAAGTATCTCCAAAAATCATGCACGATACAATAACATGTGTTCCTAGAGATGGCGCGATACGACCTTTCACCGAAAAAATTGTATTCTTGTTTTGAGGATATCCCACTTACTTTAAGTATATTTTATACTAAAATAGGCGTCAAGAAGAGTTTCTTATTTTAAGAGGAAAATCCTCTAAATAGTAATATTGATAAGAATATATACTGATTAGAATAT